GCCACAGTGAAGATTTCTGCAGCGTTTGGTATTTTAAGACATCTTTTCTCAGAGGCCGTAGTTGTTTTCAGCTCCTGGAAGACCCCCCAACTCTGGCGTTCACTCAAACTTCCTGTCCTTTCTCAGCAACTGGAACAAGGGGGCAGTCTTTTCAACGAAGCGCGGTAAAACGTTTTCGTCGTATGCTTCTGTTATGTACTGACTGTGGCTGAGACTGCTATCGCGCCACCAACCTCTGAGCCGACGAAGAGAACATAATCAAATTGTACAGGACAGTATATTAGAGAAAAAAGTGTCTGCCTTTTTGTTTTGTCCTTACGTATTAGCGTCCGTTCATTTTTTTGCGTTCGGTGCGTTCGGATAGTTCAATATCAATTGATCAATCAGAGTCGTCTAACCGCCCGGTTGATTACGCTGTCTGACCAATCAGAAACGTCGTACCATCCGTGGTGAAATGCAGTGGTTGATCATTTCGGGCCAGATGCTCACCCAGCTGCGGCTTTTTTTTCTTTTGGCTATTCTCGCCAAACATACGACTTTTTCGACCGGAGTTTTTTGGAATTTATCCTTCGTGACAGCTTCTAATCCCAAAATCGATCGTAATTGGCGTTTGGACTTTGAAGGGGAAAAATTTCGAATCCGTTCAGCGTTCTCGGTCAACGATTTAATTTTACCTCCGCCAACAATGTGACCCAAGCAGGGGATTGTATCCCGAGCGATTTGGCACTTCTTTGCACTTAGTTTCAAACCTGTACCTTTGATTCCCTAAGCACTGATTCCAGCGGATGAACATGTTCTTCTGATGTCTTCGAGAACACACCAATGTCGTTCCCGTACACTACAACATCGTCCAAGTTTTCGAGTATCTGTAGCAACAGACGTCTGAGCGTAGCTGGTGCATTGCACAGCCCGAAAGGCATCCGAACAAATTCGTATGGCTGCCCATTGACACAAAATGCTGTTTTCTCTCTGTCGCTGGCTGCCACTGGTAGTTGCCAGTACCCCGACCTCAAGTCAACTAGTGATAGTACCTGTGCTGAGTGGAGTTGTTCAAATATCTCATCCGTCAGTAACGTCTGGAAGAAGTCCTTTATGGTTACACGGGTTAGTTCTCGAAAGTCGACACAGAATCTGAAAGTGCCGTCAGATTTTCTAGTGAGCAGCATTGGTGACGAGTACAGGCTGGAACCTTTACGAATAAAACCTTTTGACAGCATATTGCGTACCTGTTTCTCCACCTCCGATAGTATCTTGTAAGGTATCCTTCGGTACACAGGTTTACAAGCGGCTCTTGGCATTAGTTCTATTTTTCGCTCCAACCAATCACAAAATCCATACGCGTCTCCGCAGTAGAAAACATCTCAGAATACTTTTCAACGCATGAATTAACACATGGAATCGAACACTCCGGAACGGCCGATGTCCTCACAACGCTGATGAAGGCATGCGTTTGTTTTCCTGAGTTTAATTCATGTGCTTGTGATCCCACGAGCAATTTACCTCCCACGAAGTCAATCTTCGCACCCACGCGCCTGAGCAGATTGATACCGATTGTAACCTCACTTACACCTTCGATCAAGAACATCTCATGGGTAACGGTCACCCCGCCAATCTGCGCAATGACACATTGTTTACCCAAAACTCTGAATGGCATGCCCCCAACGTACGTGCAGTACGTTCACATTGCACGGTTTCATCGGAACCCCTTCTATCCGCGTCATAATGGAAATCCCGGAACCCGTATCAATAACAGCCATCTTGGACCGTTCGAAAATGAAAACCTCTAGCCTTGGAACCCCACGGGCAGTCGGAATAGAAAGAGAAAATCACGAGCGAATGTGGTGGTTTAGACAAAAGCGGGCAATGTGCCGTATACCGTTACAACTGAAACACTGCTTTGATCGAACTTAAGCCCTGAAACGCCTCCTTTCTTGTGATCCGCCCTTGAGCTCCTCCTTTAGTCTTCTGAGTTCTTCAAATACTTGTTCAATATTATCTTCAGCTTCGGCAGGATCCACCCGAGCAACCACGTAATCTTGTTAATAGACTTGCGCAATCGAAATTAGGGCATTTTCATCATTCACCCGCACGCCACCGCAGGCCTCAGTTTGTCTCTCATCCATGCCGGCATGCTTTGTATGAACCGGTATTTGGCCAGCCTCTACTGTATTTCATTGTTTGCCTCCGGCAGGCCCAGAGAAATCTGTCGCTTTATGTATTGGTAGTGCACCGGCGGGTCCTCAGTCCGGTTATACTCCGCAGCATAGAACCGATTCATTGTCTTCTCGCGGTCGCCCTCCTTTGAAAACTCTGCAACCAACGTGGCTTCCAAATTATCATCAACAAGGGCTTCGTTGCATTCGAAATTCAAATCGTAAGCGGCCCTCGCTTGTCTGGAAAGCATTGCACCCAACGCAGTGTCCAGATGTGCACTCCCTTGGATGCTGTTGTGTGATGCGATTAAATCAAAATCGCGAATCCACTTCTCCACGTCTCCGTCTGTAAACGCGTTCGGCCAAGGTACTGTCATTG